AAAAAAAAAAAAAAGAACATAACATGGCTAACTGTGTCTATCAGTACCCTAGGGATCTTCCTAGGGATTTTAAGGTACAACTGAGTCCTTGGGTATAACAAATGGTTAAGTGATAAACAACTATGAATCTACCCAAAGGTGTCTCAAAAGACAGGCCTGACAACTGCTTCCAAAAGGTCAGAGTTATGAAAACCCCATGGAGCAGTTCTACTCTGCACACATGGGGTTACCATGAGTTGGAATCAACTTGACACCAATTCATAACAGCAATAAGGTACCACAGGCTACTATAGTAGTGAAAAACACTTGGTGGTTATATGCAATAATCACATTTGTGAAAATTGATTTACTATAAGAAATATTTTGTAAATTAGAGAATCTATTTGTAATTTCAATTATCCCTTAATTTATCTATCCCCAAGTTTGAATTTTTGTGTACATAGAGTCTTCATAAAGCAGGACACTTTTAGAATTTACTCAAGCTCTGGTAAATCTAAATTAATCAAATTAATTCACTGAGTGCTCTGAACTGATGCCATGAACCAAGTACTGTGTTAGGTATGGTATGGTGGTTTTATGTGCCAATTTGGTTATGATACAGTGTCCAGTTGTGTGGTTAAACTATACATCGCTGTGAAGGTATTTTGATTTGGTTAAAATTTACAATCAGTTGGCTTTAAGTAAAGTAGTGTAGCATCCAAAATGTGGATGTGTCATATCCTTCAGCAAAATGTGAAGTCTCTAGAAGAAAGACGGGATTCTGTTTTAGGACTAACATAGCTCTTCTGCTGGAGTTCCCATCCTGTTGCCTGGCCTATAGATTTCAGACTTGCCAGACCCACAGTTGAGTGAGTCAATTCCTCAAAACCACTTTCTATATGAGAGCATATTTGTTGTTGTTAAGTGCTGTACAGTTGCTTCTGACCCATAGCCACCCTGTATAGGGTTTCCAAGGAGTGGCTGGTGAGCTTGAATGCCAACCTTGTGGTTCAAACCTACTTTGCAGTCCAGCGCATTAACCCACAGTGCCACACAAGGACTCCACATAAGAGCATATGGGGTTAAGTAAAAACATATTGCTACAAAATTATAGAAATCTTTTTTAAACAAAAATATCAAAATGTGAAACTATTATTTCTTGACAGATCCTCTGTATAGATTTATATACTTCTGAAGACAGTGTTTCTATCTCTCTAACCCTTCCCAAAGAATCATGTGCTCTTTGATTTACACCAAATCAAAATGACAGTTTTGGTATTTTTCAGCGCTCAAAATGTGTTCATTTAAAATATTAGAGTTTTAGAAACAAAAAGAAGTCTGAAGGGACAAGATTAGGGTTGTAAGGTAGAAGGGGTAAGGTTTCCCAACAAAATTCTTATAGAGTAGTCCTGGCTACCATGGAAGACTGAGTAAGTGCAGTGCCTGAAAGAAAAAATTCCTCAGCACAAATCTCCTAGATTTTCCCCTCAAGAATATAATTTTCAGTCTTCTTAAAATTTCTTCTTAACAAGTCCCTGTGATTTTCCTGTGTCCTTTGAGAAAAATCTATCAAGATGACAACTTTGGAATTCTAAAAAACAGTCACCATAACCTTCTGAGCTGACTTCTCTGCTTTGAATTGAACTGGCCTAGTAGCTCTCCTCAGAAGCCACTGTTTTGATTGGCTCTTCCCCCCACCCCCAAGAGATCCAAATGAGACTACAAGTGTATTCCTGAGAGAACTTGTCTGCACTCATCCACTAATTCTGATTGTATGTTGTTGTTATTGTGAAATGTCTTTGAGTTGGTTCCGACTAATAGTGACCCTATATAGGGTTTCTGAAGAGCAGCTGCTGAGTTTGAACCACCAACCTTGCAGTTCAAGCAAGCTTGTGATCTAGTGTTTATTCTACAGCACCACAAAAGCATGATTTGTTTAGAATAAACCTGTGCATGTATGAATTAGAACTCTACTAGCAATGTTTTTTTGACTTACCTTTGTATGGAGATGTTCCTTGTATGCATATAATTGCTTGTGATAAGCTAATATAAAATGTTGATAGTTCAAACCCATCACAGAAGAAAGAGCTGACAAACTGCTTCCATAAAGATTGTTGTTGTTGTTATGTGTCGTGGAATCGGTTCCGACTCATAGCGACTCTGCACAGCGTTTCTGAGGCTGTTAATCTTTACAGCAGCAGAATGCCTCCTCTTTCTCCCACGGAGCAGCTGGTAGTTTCGAACTGCTGACCTTGCGGTTCACAGCCCAATTCATAACCACCCATAAAGATTACAGCCAAGAAAATCTCTATGGGGTAGCTCTCCTCTGCTCTATTTGTCACTTGAATTCTCCCTTAATTTATCTATCTTTATGTTTGAATTTTTGTGTGCATGGGGTCTTCATAAAGTAGGACACGTTCATTTAAAAATTTTAAATCAACAATTTTATAAATATGTTATTAAGGAGATATCACTCTACTGTTCTCTTGCCTATACCAGGATGGCTGCTATGAAAAAACTCAATGGATAGAAAGATTCAGTATCCAAAAGTCATTTGACCTACTTGAACTTCCTGAAATCGAGATCAAGGTTTTCTCAATAGGTAAACCAGGGAAAGATGGATTCTTTATTAATTGGTAGGTTTGTAAAGTAGGACACCTTTAGAATTTACTCAGGCTCTAGTAAATCTAGAAGTTGCCAGGAGTCAGAATCACTCAGAAGCTACAGGCTTATATTTATCGATCCTTTTGGTTCTGTTTTTCTGGAGAACCCTGACTCTTCAACACTTCTGGGTAAGAGGGATGGTGATGAATAGGTCCATGAGTGTCCTTAAAGTGCTAACTGAGGTTGGGAGAATTCCAGGAAGTCACAAATGAAATAAGCACCCCCTTTTATCCCTAAAGGACCCTGGTGGCACTATAGGATAAGCACTGTGTTGCCAATTGCATAGTCAGCAGTTCAAACCCACTAGTTGCTCCATGTGAGAAAGATGAGGCTTTCTAGTAGCCTACAGATTTACAACCTCAGGAAACTTTATACAGGGTCGCTATGGGTCAGAACAGACTGCATGGCAGTGGGTGGGTTTCTTCTATAAGACAGCTATGCTACTACTTATTGAAGACCATATAGAAACATTTTTAAATCTCCTTGTAAATCCTTAATCAAAACACAAAAATCTGATGAATTTGTGTTGTCACAAAATGTCTTACAACGAGAAGACACCGGCAACTGTCAACGAGTTGACTGCCTGTTTCCTAAATTGTATTTGTTGTTGTACGTTGTCTAGTTCATTTCTACTTATATATCAGAGTAGAACTGTCCCCTAGAGTTTCCTAGACTGCAAATCCCCATGGGGACACAGTGCTAGCTAGGTCTTCTCTCCTGCGGAGCAGCTGATGGGTTTAAACTACCAACCTTTTGGTGAGCAAGCCATGTGTTTTAACCACTGCTCCACCAGGGCTCCAGACTGTATCTAGCTCCTGAATTCCAGCATCAGATGTGGTGTTGAGGGATAAAGCATTGGACCACAAGGTAGATTTGAACCGCAAGGTTGGCTGTTCAAACTCACCAGCCGCTCCTCGGAAACTCTATACAATATCATGACTCTATGAATCAGAATGGACTCATCGGCTTTAACAACAATATCTTGAAGGAACCTCAGATTCTGTGTTCTCCTCCGACCTCTTTCCCTATCTGCTTAAGTTTTTAGAGGTAGAAACTGGTTCCTAGAAAGGTTGAGAGAGCAGCTGAACCTGGAACTAGGGCTTTTGAGGCTCAAACCTTTTAGCTGATTTGCTAAATGACTCTGCTCCTCTTTCTCAGGTAGGAAACTGTATATAAACGACATATTTTAAGCCTTGGGGGTTGTTTTTGCTTCCTTTGGTTGAACAAATACCTTGTAAGCAGAAAGTGTGGAGACAACAAACGACAACTGGTCAATAGAACTGCGAGTACAGTTGAAAGAGACCCGCTCTGGGTCCAGACTTGCAATCTCTTTAGTCTTTACCTGATCAAATTTGAGGGGCTCGACGCCTCCACATTAACTCCACCCAGTCCTTCCGTAAGGAATAGGTAGATGGGCGGGAAAGTACAATCTCAGCACGCACGTCTTCCTCCAATCACCCTATAGCGCGATCGCTTCCAAGTGCATTATGGAATATGTAGTTTCTTGTCAACTACTACCGAAAAACGAAAAGCGAGCCCTTCGGAGAGTGGCTGGTGGATTCCGGAACCAATCGATCGGTTAGCGGCCGAACATTTAACCACTGCGCCACCAGGTAACTACATTTTCGGTAACTACACTGCCTAGGAAAAAGGACTTCTAGCTGGAGGGACTCCGCCCCTCCATTGACCACGCCCTCTCTATTGACCCCGCCCCAGGTTGCTTGGGTGATGAGGAGACGCCGAATCTTGCTCTGGCTCGGCGCATGTACAAAGAGAGGTGCAGAGGGAAATTCTCTGAAGTCTACAATGGGCAGCCCCTATGGGGACTCGGGCAGCAGTAAGCAATACTGGCTTGAGATCGGACCCACTGACTTGCTGGAGCGCAAGGGCTCCCTGACCCTCCGCTCCCATCACAAGAAATACTCGAAACCCGTTTTGGTGTATTCCTGGTAAGCTAACTCTCCGCAATGCCTGGCTGCTGGGGCTGAGGAGAGACAGAGGGAAGCGGCTAGGAGAGGCGTAGAGAGGGGGCAAGAATGGACAGGAGAGACCCATAAAAAGAAAAGGAAGGCAAGAAGGAAAAAGAGAATAGTTGAGAAAGAAGAGAATGAGACGAGAGAGAACTAGAAAGGAAAGAAGACAGGGCAACAGAGAGGAGAGGAAGGGAATAGACACGGAATCCAGGAGCGCAACTGAGACCCGGTGCACCCACCTCCCAGCCTGTGGAGAGGAGGACTGTTAACAAAGGCCTGGAAAACACATTTAGGAGAGAAGGGGCCCAGCAGGCAAATTGGCCTCTGCATCTGCCATTTCTTGAGGGTGGAAGGTAAGGAGTATCATGCTGAGGGATTTATGGTCGAGTCGTTTTGGTCTCATGTGACCCCCCTATATAGGGTTTCCGAGGGCGGCTGGTAAGTTTGAACCGACGACCTTATGGTTCATACTGACCTTGAGATTTAGTACCTATCCTACCGTGCCACACCAGGACTCCCCTAAATATCTTCTAAGCTACTACGGGTTCTCTTCTGGCTAGGTATTACAAACTGGTAAGGAAAAAGAGTAGCATGCACAATGTTGCAGCGTTTTAAAGATTTTGTTGCCTGTGTTTTAAAGAATAGGAGGTTTCACATAAAAACCAGGGCTGTGTCTTCTCTTAAAATTTTGAAAGTCCTGGCAACTAGGAGCCTCATTACTCTTGGCATCAATGAACTGGAGCTTCTGAATTGACTACTCTTTAAAATGGGCTGTGATCTTTATAGGAGCAAAGGTCACATCTTTCTTCCTTGGAGCTGGTGAATTCCACCTTTTGGTTAGCAGTTGAGTGCTTAACCACGGCACTACCAGGGCTCCTGAAATGGAACTAGCTCTCACTTTTCTAACTTCACTCATGTATCTTGCTTGATTCCAAGAGGTATTGGATTTACCTCCTTTGCTATAGGCATTGGGGTTTAGAACTTACTTAGGGGTTGTTTTGTTTTATTAAATATTACAGTGATGAAACTGTGGTTAGAAAAGGGGAAAGGACAATTAAGGCAAATAGGATTCTTTTCTTTGGGTCAATTTTCCTACCAATCCGGTTGATAATAAATACTTTTGGAGTATTTAGAATCTTCTGGGGAAGGGAACAGAAAGGGAGAACTGAAATGTAAATGTGTCTCCTTGATAATTTTGCCTTTTGAAGAAGATGAATGATTTTGTCTCTAACTCTAAGGCTAAGCCCTACTTGATTCCATTTGTTCCTATCCTGTAGGTGAGCCCTGCAGTCTCTGTCTTAAACTTTCTAAAAATTGCTCACAAGTCTTGTTATAGTAACTGCCGTAGAGTCAGCTCCAGCTCATGGTGACCATATATATAGTAGAATGAAACACTGCCTGGTTCTATGCCATCTTTAGGATGTTGTTATGTCTGACTTCATTGATGTGACCATTATGCCAATCCATCTTACTGAAGCTTCCCTTGCCTTCACTGGCCCTTAACTTTATCAAACATGAGGTCCTGCTCCAGGGATCCATCCCTACTGATGACATGTCCAAAGTAAGGGAGTTGGGATCTCAAATGATACTATTTGATCTATAAAGTTTTCATTGGATAATTTTCAGAAGTAGATTACCAGGTCTTCCGTCTTAGCCTGCCTTACTCTGGAAACTCCACTGAAACCTGCCCAACATGGGTGGTTCTGCTGGCATATGAAGTACCTATGGCAGAGCTTCTAGTATCATAGCAACACTCAATCCACAACAGAATGACAACTGACAGATGAGCCCACAGCCCACTCCACTTTGACTTCTGATCTCTAAAACTGACTCTGTTTTGAGCTCAAGGAGAGTGGTTGTATAGATTTGGAATCCAAAAGCTAAGTTGAAAAACATCTCCTTTCAACTTCATCAAGTAAAACACTTAGCTCTTCCATGATTCTGTTACCCCATAAGGGTTTGAATCATCACTGCTAGAACTTGCTGTTAAAGAGAAAGGTCTTTCTCCAGGGGAGAATGCTTTTGCTCTTTGCTCTACTGTTGGATTGAAAAGTTGCCTTGTGAACATCGTAGACATCAATGGCAAAACCACAATCATTTTAGCAAATGCTTGGAATGTAGCAGGCTCTGGTTTGGGATCAGGAGGAATTAAATCCAATCCAACAAACATTTTTGTGTCATGTACTCTCACAGGTGTTGTTAAGTGCTGTCAAGTCAGTTCTTACCCATAGCGAGCCTGTATAGGGTTTCTGAGGAGGGACTGGTGAGCTTGAACCACTGACCTTGCATTTCAAACAGCTCTGAAGTCTGGTGCATTAACCCACAGCACCACACCAGGACTCTAGGGGACACAAAAATGGATAAATCAAATTCAGTGAGATAATTTGTATAAAGCATGATGCCTAACACATGGTAACACATGGTAAACACTCAGTAAGTGGCAGCTACTAGCTCTGGTGAGGAACCCTGGTGGCTAAGTGGTTAAAGCACTCCACTGCGAATCAAAAGGTCAGCAGTTGGAATCCACCATGAGTGAAAGCTATGGCAGTCTGTTTCCATAAAGATTCACAGCTTTGGAAACCCTATGGGGGACAGTTCTACTTGGTCCTACAGTGATAGTATGATTCAGAATCAACTCGACAGCAATGGGCTTGGCTTTGGTTTTTCAGTAGCCCTGGTGGTGCAGTAATTAAGCCACTCTGCTAGAGAAGGATGTGGTAGTTTGTGTTTGTAAAGATTGCAGCCTTGGAAACCACAAGGGGTCAGTTCTCCTTTGTCTTAGACAGCTGCTACAAGTCGGAATCGACTTGACAGCACCCAACAACAGTTTATTTTCTGTAACATGATGGTTAAAAGCTTGGACTCTAGGTTTAAATAATGACTCTGCCACTCTGTGATACTGCAAGTAATTTGCTTTTTGCCTCTGTTTCTGCAACTGTAAAATGGGGATAATAGGATGATTGTTAAATTAAAGGATGTATCGTTGATATTCCATGCGAGTTAAGTTTTACTAAAGGTAATACAGAAACAGCTGTAAGCATACATGGACAGAAAACTTCCAGAGGTTCAAGCTGGATTCAGAAGAGGACATGAAACGAGGGATACCATTGCTAATGTCCAATGGATCTTGGCTGAAAGCAGAGAATACCAGAAAGATGTTTGCGTGTGCTTTATGGACTACAGAAAGGCTTTCAATTATGTGGATCATGACAAGCTATGGACAACATTGACAAGTATGAGTATTCCGGAACATTTAATTGTGCTCATGAGGAATCTGTACCTGGACCAAGAAGCAGTTATTCGAACAGAACATGGGAACACTGAATGGTTTAAAATTAAGAAAGTTGTGTGACAGGGTTGTATTCTTTCACCATACTTATTCAGCCTATATGCTGAGCAAATAATCCGAGAAGCTTGGTTACATGAAGAAAAATGTGGCATCAGGATTGGAAGAAGAATCATTAACAACTTGCGATATGCAGATGATACAACCTTGCTTGCAGAAAGTGAAGAGGACTTAAAATACTTACTGATGAAGATCAAAGAGCGCAGCCTTCAGTGTGGATATAAAGAAGATGAAAATCCTCACCACTGGACCAATAAATAACATTCTTACCAACGGAGAAAAGATTGAAGTTGTCAAGGACTTCATTCTTCTTGGATCAACTATCAACACTCATGGAAGCAGCAATCATGAAATCAGATGATGTATTGCATTAGGCAAATCTGCTACACAAGACCTTTTTAAAGTGTTGAAGAGCAAAGATGTCAGCTTGAATACTAAGGTGCGCCTGACCCAAGCCATGGTATTTTCAATAACCTCATATGCATGCGAAAGCTGGCCAGTGAATAAGGAAGACCATAGAAGAATTGATGCTTTTGAGTTATGGTGTTGGAGGAGAATATTGAAAGTGCCACGGGCTGCCAAAAGAACAAACAGGTCTCTTCTGGAAGAAGTACAGCCAGAGTGTTCCTTGGAGTGCTCCAGGATGGTCAAACTTCATCTCGCATACTTTGAACATATTGTCAGGTGGGACCAGTCGCTGGAGAAGAATATGATGTTTGGTAAGGTGGAGAGCCAGAGAAAGAGAGGAAGACCCCCAATGAGATGGATTGGCCAAGTGGCAGTATCTGTGGGCTCAAGCATGGCAACAATTGTGAGGTTTGCCCAGGACCTGGCAGCAACCCTATGTAGGGTTGCTATGAGTTGGTACCGACTTGATGGCACCTAACAACAACAAGCATGTGGAACATCTTTTAACACACAGCCTGACATGTATTAGAACGTGTTGGGAGAGGTTTTGAAAGGAAGAATAGCTTTGTAGGTGTACAAAAGGTTGTTGTTGTTGTTAGGTGCCATTACCTGGGTTCCAACCCATAACAAACCTATGTACAACAGAACGAAACAATGCCTTGTCCTGTGCCATTCTCACAATTGCTGATACACTTGATCCCATTGTTGCTGCCACTGTGCCAATCCATCTTGGTGGGGAGCCTCTCTCTATTTTGCTGTCTCTCCACTTTACCAAACATGATGTCCTTCTCCAGGGACTGGTCCCTCCTGACCCTCCTGATAAAATGTCCAAAGTATGAGAGAAGAAGTCTGGCAACTTGGCTATTAAGGAGCATTCTGGTTGTACTTCTTTCAACACAAATTTGTTTGTTCTTCTGGCAGTCCATAGTACCTTTAATATTCTCCTCCAACACCATAACTCAACTGCATCAATTCTTCTACGTTCTTCCCTATTCACTGTCCAGCTTTCACATGTGTATATGAGGCTATTGAAAATACCACGGCTTGGGTTAGGTATTCTTTTATCTTCAAACTGACATTTTGAACATTTTAAAGAGGTCTTGTGCAGCAGACTTGCCCAATGCTATATGTCATTTGATTTCTTGACTGCTGCCTCCAGTGAGAGTTGATAGTGGGTCCCAAACATAATGAAGTCTTTGACAACTTAAATCTTTTCTCCATT